AAAAAAAAAGACTGGATGACAGAGTAAGACTCTGTTTCTATTTATTTATTTTTTTATTTAATTATTTTTATGGAGACAGAGTCTCACTTTGTCGCCCTCCATAGAGTGCCATGGTGTCACAGCTCACAGCAACCTCAAACTCTTTGGTTTAAGCAATTCTCTTGCCTCAGCTTCCCAAGTAGCTGGGACTACAGGCACTCGCCACGAAGTCCAGTTATGTTTTGGTTGCAGTTGTCGTTGTTTAGCAGGCCTGGGCTGGGCTAGAACCCGCCAGCTTTGGTGTATGTGGCTGGCGCCCTACTCACTGAGCTATGGGCGCTGAGCCAAGATCCTGCTTAAAAAAAGAAAAAAATCAATTTTTGAAAAGCAAAAGAAAGAAATGTTATTACATCATAAGGAAGAGACAATATTTTATTAAGTGAAAGTGGATCCTCATAAAGGTATTCATCCTCATCATTATCTTCAAGTTGAGCAGGCTGATGAGGAAGGGGAGGAATTGGTGGTGTTTTCTCAGAGGCACTCTTAAGAAAATCCACCTATAAGCAGACCCATGAAGTTCAAACCTGTGTTATTCAATAGTCAACTGTACTTCATCCAACCTTCATCAAACTGCTTTCTTGCAAATCAGCTGAAACTTACATGCCACTTCATTAACTTGTAATTTAAACACTTACGGTATCATACATTTAAAAAGTCATTATTTATATCTCTGTTTTGATGGTAAGTAGAAAAGTTCATTGCCTTATAGTTGGATTTGTGTGTGTTTTGAGAGCTGGCCAGACACTCACTTATTCTGTGAGAATCACAGTCTAATATCTTCAGAAGTCACTTCTGAATGTTATTCAGAGTTACATTATTTAAGAAAAATATTTACTCAAAACTCAATGAAAGACCAGCTGTTGTTAACAGTAACCATTAATTTTTGTCAGTTTAGAATCCTAGTTGTTAGAGCTGGAAAGGCTCTTGGAGATCATATAAAGCAGTCTCATAATTTTACAAATACAAAAACCAGAGGTGAAGTCATTTGACCAGCTCTACTCTGATAGAATAATGGACCGCCAAAGATGTTCATATCCTACTCCCTAGAGGATATGTATATGTTAGGTTATGTAACAAAGGGGAGTTAAGGTTACACATGGAATTAAGTTTGCTAATCAGCTAATGTGGAGAGGAGAGATTATCCTGGATTATCCAGTCAGGCCCAGTGTAATCACAAGGGTCTTTGTAAGTGGAAGAGGAATATGCAAGAGTATGTCTAAGTTACGTGATGTAAGAAAGACTCAACCTTCTATTGCTGCTTTGAGGATGGAAGAAGGCCAACAGCCAAGGAATGTCAAGGAAATAAATTCTCCCCTAGATATCTAGAAAGGAATACAGTCCTGCTGGCACCTTGATTTTATCTCAATGAGAGCTATGTCAGATTTCTCACCTACAAAATTGTGAGATAATAAATTTGTATTGGTTTAAGACACTTAAGTTTGTTTTAGTAGCACTGAGAAAACTAATACTACCGCAAAGTGATAGAGACCAAGAGATCAGGCTTGGGTAGAGTGGCTTCTCTTCACTAAAAGAAACATTTAAAAATTCACTATCTAACGGGAACAAAATAAGTT